AAAAAAAGAAGAAGATAGGAACCTTTTTGTTCTTGGCTGGCCTGGAATTAGCTGTGTAGACCAAGCTGGCCTTGGGGTTGTCAGAATCCTCCTGCCTCTGCTTCTCAACTTGAGGTCACTGGATGCCCTAAGTTGTTTTTTCCAATGCACCCATTCCTCCAACCCTTTTATCCCCCCACCCCCCGCCCGCCGTTTGCCATACTTGTCTATTTACTTGGCAGAGTCTAATTTATCAGGGCTGCTGGAGCTGGGTCCCTGCCTTATACTTCTGGTTTCAGTCTTACAAAGCCTTTGTTTGTTTTGTTTTGGAGACAGGGACTTGGGTAGCCTAATCTGACCTTGAATCCTTTATGTCTCTGAGGCTGGCCTTGGGTTCCCAGTCCTTCTGCCTCCATATCCCAGGTTTTGGGATTACAAATGCATGCAGCAACAACCAAAGCAAATGCTAGATCCAACAATTTCTTTCCTTTTTTTTTTTTTTTTTTTTTTTTGTACTTGACCTCTCTCCCTGGTGCCTTATTTTGCTGGCTCAATTTTCTTGGAGATCTCCCAATTTCTGCTATCCGGCAGTTCAGCCTGTGAGTCTCTCTCTGGGGGCCACATTATCAGATGTCCTGCATATCAGATATTTACATTACAATCTGTAACGGTAGCAAAATTACAGTTATGAAGTCGCAATGTGATGGGGAAGTCCTGTGTATATGTCAATAAGGCACTGTTGGCCAATAGGGAAGATAGATAGGTGGGACTAGGAGCCGAGGAGGACTCTGGGTAGGAGAAACACAGAGAGTCAAGATGTAACCGCCATAGGGGTAAGAAGCCCGGAAACTTTTCTCCGGTAAGAGAAATACTTCGATTAACAATTATGGGGTAAATACTTAAGTCAGAGATAGCCAGTAAGAAACAAGCAAGGCCAACAGCTTCATAATTAATACAGCGTCTTGTGTGTTATTTGGGGACTACAACTGTGGCAGAGCCCAGGCGGCTGGTGGGAAAAAACCAAAGCAGCTGGCAAGGAAAAGGCTTCTCTCTACAGCAATGAAATTAATTTTCTGGTTGAGGCTCACCACAAACCTGAGGAACTAACTGTATTAAAGGGTCTCAGCACTAGGACGACGGAGAACCACTGTATAAATTCTAACTTCTCTGTCAATTCCCCTTAACTGTCTATTCTCTCTCCCTCCTTCTCACCCTCTCTTCCTTCGTCTTTCTTTTCTTTTAGACTTTATGTTCATTATTATTATTATTATTTTGGTTTTTCAAGGCAGGGTTTCTCTGTATTGTTTTGGAGGCTGTCCTGAATCTTGTTTGGTAGACCAGGCTTGGTTTGAAACTCACAGAGATCCACCTGCCTCTGCCTCCCAAGTGAGTGCTGGGATTAAAGGTGTGCGCCACCAACGCCTGGCTTATGTTCATTATTTTTAAGTGTCCTTCTGTTTTTGTGCATGTGAGTGCAGGTGCTCAAGAAAGCCAGAGGTGGCAGATCCTCCCCCCCCCCCAGACAGGTGGTTGTGAGCTGCCTGATGTGGGTGCTAGGAACTGAACCTGAGTCCTTGTCTGTTAAGTGAAGCTTTTTCCTTGAGAGAAGCCGTTCCGCCCGCCTGGTTCCAGATCCGCATCAGTCCCAAATAAACACACAGGAGGCTATATTAATTATGAAGCTGTTGGCCTTGCTTGTCTCTTACTGGCTAGCTCTGCTTTAAGTAATTACCCCATAATTGTTAATCTAAGTATGTCTCTTACCGGAGAATAGTTCCAGGCTTCCTACCCCCAATGGCGTTACATCTCGACTCTCTGTGTTTCCCCTTCCCAGAATCCTCCTGGACTCCTACTCCCACCTATCTAGATTCCTATTGGCCAGCAGTAATTTATTGACATATACACAGGACTTCCCCAACACTTGTCAAGAGTGAGACACACTCTTAAGCCATGGGTCCTCTCTCCAATCCCAAATGAAGCAACCTTTTTTTTAAGGGAGTCTTCAAATTCACCTGTTACACCACATGGTTGCTTGCTCTAATTTATCTACAGGTGATCTAGTTCCAAGAATGGACAGTCTTCAAACAAAGCCAACAGCCATCAAAAAGAAGCCCCTGAAACAGGAGAAAGAATCCATTTTGGTGATCATGTGTATCAGAGGCCCGCTAATAAGGGCTTTGAGTATGGCACGCAATAATGTAGCTTCAACTTGTGTTTTTTTTTTGGGGGGGGGAGAAAAACTGACTATCCATTCTTTTTTTCAGTTACAAAAGCCAAAACAACCACAAATGTGTCATTTTTTTAGTGCTCAGTAGTGCTTTGGGAGACAAGCCATCCCAAAGAACAGAAAACAAAACAAAACTTGTTAAGGGGAAGCTTTTTCTTTGAGAGAAGCCTTCCCGCCCGCCTGGTTCCAGATCGCATCAGTCCCAAATAAACACACAGGAGGCTACATTAATTATGAAGCTGTTGGCCTTGCTTGTTTCTTCCTGGCTAGCTCTGACTTAAGTAATTACCCCATAATTGTTAATCTAAGTATGTCTCTTACCAGAGAGGTTTCCGGGCTTCCTACCCCAATGGCGTTACATCTCGACTCTCTGTGTTTCTCCTTCCCAGAATCCTCCTAGACTCCTAGCCCCACCTATCTAGATTCCTTTTGGCCAGCAGTAATTTATTGACATATACACAGGACTTCCCCAACAAAAACTAAACCCAAAACCCTCAGTATCCTGTTGATCCCATTCTGCTTTTCAGGGTGTCTACTAGGGAGACAGAGACTGTAGAGACGCAGGCAGGTGAGTCTCCAGAAAAGGCTCGTGGAAGCAGTCCAGAAGAGAAGCCCTGGTCTTTCAGGAGTTCTCAACTGCTGTCCACCCCTTGTTGGAATTTGTTGTGGCACTATTTCTTTCTTTATTCTGGTGTGTGTATGTGCATATGTGCATGCTTGAATGTGTCAAGGCACCTGTGTGGTAGTCAGAGGACCACTTTGTGGGATACATTCGTTCCACCATGTGGGGTTCAGAGGTTTACTTCAGGTTTTCAGGTTTTGTGGCAAGATCCTTTACACGCTGAGTCATCTTTTGGGACCTTGAGTTTTAAAATTTTTTAAAAAATTATATTATTATTATTTTGGTTTTTTTCGAGACAGGGTTTCTCTGTGGCTTTGGAGGCTGTCTCGGAGCTCGCTTTTGTAGACCAGGCTGGTCTCGAACTCACAGAGATCTGCCTGCTTCTGCCTCTCAAGTGCTGGGATTAAAGGTGTGTGCCACCAACGCCGGGCTGGGCATCTTTCATTTGACCCCACTGCTCTACCCCGGGGTAGATGAGGGAGGTGTGTACCCGCTATGCCTCTCTCATGCCCTCAGGGCTGGCTCACCCATGCTCCTGTTTACAAGGTCAGCTCTACCATGGTGCCCAGGTGAGGCTCCAGGATGGTTCTCCCAAGTGAGGGGACGGGTCACGTCCTTGTCCTCCACTTGCTGTGGGAGGAAAAGGATGGAGGGAGGCCATCCCTCAACACATGGCGGTGTGTGTGTGTGTGTGTGTGTGTGTGTGTGTGTGTGTGTGTGTGTGTGACCTGCTCTCCCATTCTCACGCCCTCAGGGCCAGCGTGCCCTTGCCCCTGCAAACAGGGTCAGCTTTATTGTGCTGTCCAGGCGAGGTGTAGGACCATCTCTCTTGAGCGCCTCAGCTGGTGAGGGGCAGGACCGGTTCTCCCTAGAGTTGCACTCAGTGAGAGGATGGGGCCGACTCTGCACAGCCCTATCCTCTCGGCCTTCGGTGGTATCAGGAGCCGCGGACATCAACACAGACCTCGGCCATGCACTCAGACATGGGTCCTGGCAGCAGCCCAGACCCAGACATTATCACCGCAGCCCTGGGTGGCGATCGAACCAACCACAACCACACCAGCCCATTCCTCACCGATTTCACCTCTGTCTCTTCTCTCTCTCCCTCCCTCCGTCCCTCCGTCCGTCCCTCCCTCCCTCCCTCTCTGTCTCTCTCTGTTTCTGTCTCTGTCTCTCTCTCCCATATCCACCATCCAATTTCTCATCATAATGGTGCCCTTCTGCTCAGTGCTGCAAGCACCCATGAGAGCCCATGTTTCTCTGGAACCCGGGGTAGAGTGCCCCAGGCCTGTGGTGTGTGTGTGTGTGTGAGTCTCCTTGTCCTCAGTCCGTCATGGTGCTGGGCAAGACTAGGCTTCCTCCTCAGAGCCCAGGGCAGCCAGCCCCGGGCCTGCGTATAGCATTTAGTTTTGATTATTTAGTTGTTGTTATTTCGTTGTTCATAGATACAACCTTTGCATTTAGAACAAACATTCTAACTTATGAATGACAATTATAAAGTGTCCGTCCCCCCCCCCCACAGTGGCACACATCTGTAATCTCAGCACTTGGAGAACTGAGTCAAGGGGGACTGAGAATTTGAAGATAGCCAAGCTATATAATGAGATCATGTCTCAAGAAAAGACTGTATATTAGGCTGGCAAGATGGCTCTTGGGTTTTGATTCCTGAGACCCATGTGATGGAAGGAGAGTGGTGACTCTCACACGTTGTCTGACCTCCACGTGGATACTGTTGTATATGTTTCCATTCATCCACCCATGCATACGTAAATGTGATAAAAACATTTCAAAAAAGACTGTACGTTTCAGGTTACCCTCAAACTCACAATCCTCCCGTCTTAACTTCCCAGTTGCTAGGATTATAGATATGTACTATGATGGCAGTATTAAAACTTATTTATTTTAAGGCATGGTCTCTTATTTAGTTCAGCCTGGCTTTAAACTCTCTATTTAGGCCAGGATGGTCTTAAATTCATGATGTTTCTTCTGCCTCTACCTCTTAAATGGCTGAGACTACAGGCATGTATCACTATGCCCTGCTTTTAACTTTTGGTTGCTTATTTATTTCAATAAATAAAGGAGGTTTCTCAAATGAAGTTCCAAGAGCCCTGTGGTGGATTGCTACGGTTAGAAATCTTCACAACATGACACATAAGCTCTTTACAATCAAACTAGGAATACACAACCTGTAATTTTACCAGACAGTCTGGGCAGGATGTGTGGGTGTAGACCTTTTTAGAAAATTAAAAAAGTGAAAGTATAAAGGATTTATATACATTCTGACAGGGTGGACACGATATGCAAACGACATGCAAATAGGATGCAAACGAGGTGCAACTACTCATGCAAATGAGCATCCTGTCTTTAGAATCAACTGCTGGTTGGCTATTCACTTATTTGTCTGCGGTGCCGACAGTAAATCTTTCAGAGGGATCCAAGTTGCTTTGGTGGAGATGAGAATGTATTGTGGAGGAGGGAGTGGCAGGAAGGGGGTGTCTCTCAAGAAGTTTGGTGTCATGCTGTAAGCCTGAAGCCGAGTTAGGCAGAAAGTTTAAAACGCAGTTATTCTGCAGTGGTGCTCCAAAAGCTGGTCTTTGGTAAGTAGGCTGAGGAGAGAAGCAAGGAAATTCAGGTTTCTTATAACCTTTCAAGTCTTTTACGTCACCCGACTCCTCAGCCCCCATCACACACCATCTGGGCTCTTGTCTAGCAAAGCAGACTGGGTAGTCGGGGATCCCTGGCTCCACGTCCTCACCACAAGGACCAATGAGGAGCTCCCATTAAGAGCTCCTATAAACTGTAGCGGGAGGAGGCTAAGGGCATGGTGTGGAGCTCTGCACTTGCTGATCTCCAATCAGATCAAAAGTGAGAAACAACATCCGAGATTGCCCCTCCGACCTCCACATGTGGGCCTGTGTCATAAACATAAACATGTCTATGCACATACTATGTACATACATGTACACAAAAATGAGTAAATAAAGACATAATTTAAAAAAGTTTCTTGGAAAACAAACAAACAAACAATAAAATAAAATAAAAAGTTTCTTGGGGCTGGAGAGATGGCTCAGTAGTTAAGAGCACTGGCTGCTCTTCCAGAGGACCTGGACTCAATTCCCAGCACCCATGTGACAGCTCGCAACGGCCTGTAACTCCAGTTTCAGGGGATCTGATACCTCACAGACATGCATGCAGACAAAACAAAAATATGCATGAAACAAACATAAATTATTAAAAATAGTTTCTCTTTGGGGTGACCTGAATGTTTTGGAATTAGTGGCATGTGTGCAACATTATAACACTGCTAAAAAAACTGAATTACTTTTTTTGGGGTCGGGGTTCCAGACAAGGTTTCTCTGTGTAGTCCTGGTTGTCCTGGAACTCACTCTGTAGACCATGCTGGCCTCACAGTCACCGAGATCCACCTGCCTTTACCTCCTCAGTGCTAGGATTAAGACATGCACCACCACCACCACCACCAAGCCCCTAATTACATATTTTATTTATTTATTTTTTAAGGATAGAGGATAGGCCGGAGGGATGGCTCAGAGGTTAAGAGCACTGGCTGCTCTTCCAGAGGTTCTGAGTTCAGTTCCCAGCAGCCACATGGTGGCTCACAACCATCTCTGATTTGATCTGGTGCCCTCTTCTGGCATATAGGCAGAACACTGTATACATAATAAATAAATCTTAAAAAAAAAAAGGATAGAGGATAAACTCTTGCTATGTAGATTGACCTTCTTTGAGCTGGTGGGTGCTCTTGCCTCTACCTTCAGAGTGCTGGGGTTAAAAACATCCCTCACATGTCCAGCTACTTTTGAGGCGGTATTTTTTTCAGACAAGGTTTCTCTGTGTAGCCCTGACCGGACTGGCTTTGGAGCTCACAGAGACCCTCCTGCCTGTGTCTCCTAAGTAATGGGATCAAAAGTGTGCGCCACCATCGCCGAGCTACTTTATTTATTTATTTTTAAACTCATAACCCTCCTGCCTCAGTTTTCTAGGTGCTGGGACTGTAAACATGTACCGCTGTATCTGGACTGGATTTCAAACATTAAAAACATTAGTTTTATGGTATGTGAATTGTATCTCTCTCACCTTAAGAAAGCCTGCCAGGCTGGGCGTAGGTGGCACACGCCTTTAATCCCAGCACTCGGGAGGCAGAGGCAGGCGGATCTCTGTAAGTTCGAGACCAGCCTGGACTACCAAGCGAGTTCCAGGACAGCCTCCAAAGCCAAAGAGAAACCCTGTCTAGAAAAACCAAAAAAAAAAAAAAAAAAAAGAAAGCCTGCCAGGTGGCAGGTGACACATGCCTTTCCCCTCAGAACTCAGGAGGTAGAGGCAGGCTTGAACTCTATGAGTTCAAGACCAGTGTGATCTACAAAAGAGAATTCCAGGACAGCCAGGGCTACACAGAGAAACCTGTCCTGAGCCTGTCCCCACAAAATAAAGCTAAATAATGGCAACAGCACCAAGAAAGAAAGGCACATGCTCAGACAGCGAGGGCCAGCAAGACTCTCCCATCCCTTGGACGTTGTGAGAGGAGCCCACTCATTCTTTTTTTTTTTTTTTTTTTTTTTTTTTTTTGGTTTTTCGAGACAGGGTTTCTCTGTATTGTTTTGGAGGCTGTCCTGGAACTTGCTCGGTAGACCAGGCTTAGTCTGGAACTCACAGAAATTCGCCTGCCTCTGCCTCCCCAGCGCTGGGATTAAAGGCGTGCGCCACCAACGCCCAGCGAGCCCACTCATTCTTTTCCGGCATAATCCAATTTGAGAGGATACAAGATGTAGACGTGCTGACCCGCCTTACTGTGTTTAGAGTGTGAGAATGGATTATCAGAAGCGAGAAACGGCACAGCACCTACCTAGCCCTGGCTGCACTGGAGCTCTGTGGCGTGCGCAGCCAAGCACAGCGGATAGCTTAAGTAGCCTGGGGCTCCACTTGGCTCTCGCTGTGTGCAACGCCCTCATTTCGTTCTTGGGAAAGAGTTCTGCATTGATTTTATTGCATCTGTTAATGTAAGTGTGTGTGTGTGTGTGTGTGTGTGTGTGTGTGTGTTCGTGTGTGGGTATTTGTGCGCCACTGGAAGTGTGTGGAGATCAGAAAACAACTTGTAGGAGTCTGCTCTCCCCGCTTCCACCGTATGGGTCCTGGGGTTCAAACTCAGATCATCAATTTAGCAGCAAGCGTCGTTACCCACTGAACTGTCTCAGAAGCCTACATCCTATCTCTTTTCTTTTCTTTGAAAATTCTTTTTATTTATTTATTTTGGTTTTTCGAGACAGGGTTTCTCTGTGGCTTTGGAGGCTGTCCTGGAACTCACTCTGTAGATCAAGCTGGTCTCGAACTCACAGAGATCAGCCTGCCTCTGCCTCCCGAGTGCTAGGATTAAAGGCGTGTGCCACCACTGCCTGGTGAAAATTCTTTTTATTTTTCTTTTATGTGTATGGGTTTTTTGCCATGTGTATATGCACAGTGCGTGCATACACTGTCTATGGAGGCCTAAAGAGGCTATTGATGTCCTGGAACTGAAGTCACAGACAATTTTGAGAAGTCATATGGGTGGTGGGAATCAAATGCTTCTTCTCTGGCAGAGCAGCTCTACGCTGAGGAGCCATCTCTCCAGCCTCCACATCCTATTTCTAATAATGCAGCTTGCCGCCCGAGAAGCTTACCCACAATCACAAGCACACAAACCCTTCTCCAAAGGATGCACCCAGCAACCTGCTAAAACCCAAGATCCCTGCCTTGTATCAGACTGCATGAAAACTCCACTTCACCGAAAGACCAAGACACATCCTTTTCAGTCCAGTTGTGAGGATGGGAGTGCTCTTGTGGCGAAGATTGGTTTTGGGTGCATGTGCCATAAGGCAAGCTGTGTCCTTAAAGTGAACTTTCAGGGAGAATTCCCTATTTATCCTCTATGCCTAGCTAGGCACAACAGAATATGTATATAATTAAAATCCAGTGCATTGTGAGAAAGGATATGCACATTAGGAACAAATAAGGCTAAATAACTTAACCTGTCTGGGTCTTGGCAGTATGCCTGGAAGGGTGGGCTCAGTGGAGTCCCTCTTTGTGCATTGTCTCTCTACTTGGGTTGCTTCGGTTATTATTATAGAACAGCTAAGCAGCTAAGGCAGGTCTTAGCTAGGCTTGTTCTAGGATAGCATTACCTCATTTGTCTTCTTCTTCTTCTTCTTCTTCTTCTTCTTCTTCTTCTTCTTCTTCTTCTTCTTCTTCTTCTTCTTCTTCTTCTCCTTCTCCTTCTCCTTCTCCTTCTCCTTCTCCTTCTTCTTTTGAGACAGGGTTTCTCTGTGGCTTTGGAGGCTGTCCCGGAACTTGCTCTTATAGACCAGGCTGGCCTCGAACTCACAGAGATCCATCTTCCTCTGCCTCTCGAGTGCTGGAATTAAAGGCGTGCGCCACCAACGCCCGGCCTTGTATTCTTTATCAGTCACGTGTCAGCAGAGATTCAAAGGGGATAGAAATATACCTCACCTTTCCCCAAATAAGGTGGCAAAGCATTTGAGGCCATCTTTACCTCAATTCTCAGTGTGCCTATTTACTCTTGGGTCCCTGGGTCATAGCATATCACTTGGACGGATTCAATAAGGTGGAATCAGACTAATTTTCATATGAAAAGTGTTCGGTTTTGAGTTAAATCAAGGCTGAGGTCTACTTGGAACCTTAGGGAGCGCTCTATGCTACCCATTCTAATTTGGGGGCTGCCCCGTGCCCCCCACGGAGCTGTATCAGCACATTTGAGCTTCAGTTCCCCATTTCGGTTAATGAAGAACAATAAAACCTGTGTCTCACAGAATTAAACAATGTAAGGGATATGAGAACGCGTTTATATATAAGCTATAATGTTCTCCTTAATGACAGGTTGTTATTGTCGTCATTGTTGCCCAGTGTGGGTTGCAGACAGGGCTGTAGACTCTGAGTCCCCTGCTCTAGAGAATGGCTCCTCAACCTTATTCCACTCCCCAGCCCCTGTTTCCCAGGAGCACGTTAGGACAAGGAAGCGGAGTTCCTATGGCTTTACGATGAAGCTCTAGCCAGGGAGGATTTATTTCCCTATGGTGGCTCTAATGATGGTTCGATGAGACTCATAATTCCATAATGATCTTGGTGCCAGCGACTTCCTCCCTGGGTGTCTCTGTGGAGGCTGTGGGGGAAAGGGGAAGCCACGATGGCTGAACAAATAAGAATGACGAGCTGCGTGTAGCCGGCTCCCCGTTGCCTGGATTGGCCCATTGTGTGGAGTAATAAAGACGCTCCTGAGGAAAACCACATTCAGCTTGTCACCTGGCTGAGGGAACATGGCGCTCTGCTCCCTGAAAAGCCACCCCTCCAAGCCCTCTGTCTGAGAGACACTTGGCGTACATCTGCTTCCCTCGGCGCCTCATTTGTCCCTGGGGAGAAGGCTCGTCTACCTGAGTCACACCCCTTCTCACAGGCTTTCCAAGAAAGCCATCAGACAGAGTAGGAATGCGTAATGGGCATTGTGTGCATTAGGTCTGGAAACAAGATCACTGCTTGGAATGTTAAGTCGGCGTGTAAAGCAGAGATCTTGCTTTTGTGCGCTTCTTGACTTTGCCCAGCC